AGCAAAACTGTGCCCCCCCCTCTCCCCCCCCCTCCCAGTACCTTAGCCTTCACCCCTCCCGGCTCTTCCAGCCTCCCCCTGCCACTGTTTTTCCCCCTCCCGCTCTTCGCCCCTCCCTCTAAGGCTGCTCCAGTTAAAGCCCCCCCCCCGCCGGCCCCAACCTCCCCTGCGCTCTGCTGCGTCGCCCTCGCTTTCCCCAAGCAAAGATGGAAGTCGTCAATCAGGTAAGCGCTGAGGATTTCAACACCGGGGACAGCTCCCCATAGCCTTCTTAGCGTGCACCCCCACATTGGGAGGTTGGCTGAGTCACCTAAGCTGGCTCCTACCCTTCCAATGCCCGCTTCCCCACTCTAATCCTATCCTGTCTGGGTCGAGATTGATTCTAAACACAGCAAGGAAATGCCCCGGGTGCAACACAAAATCTGTGGGGGTGCAGCGAGACAGGAGCCTCCGTTTTACAGGAATAGGGATGGGGTGGGAGCACGCTTAGGTGAGCAACCTCGCAAAGTGGGGGTGCATGCTAATAGAGCCGTGGGGAGCCCACATTACCCACTGCAGCAATTTGCAGAAGATGCACTGAGCCCTTTCTGGGTGGAAGGGAGGGGAGAGGGAGGCTGTGAAATTGCTGCAGTGAGGCAGCTGTAAATGGGAAAGGAGAACTCTGGAGAAGGCAGATAGCAAAGGAGATGCAGGATATACTGTATATATTTTTTTTCTGCTGGGAGAGATGTCTCGAGGTCAACCATATTTCCTCCCCATCCTTTCTCACTTACAACTTGCTAGAGGAGCTCTAGATTGTAGCAGACGAAGGAGCAGCGTACGTAACGTGGACCCAGAGCAGCAGTCTGCCTTCAGTCATTGCAGCAGATTGGGGAGGAAGTGTGGGGGAGAAGGAAGAGCCGCCAAAATGGCTGGGGTGATGGCTGCGCAATATAAAATATGCTGCTAGGCTGTATTTAGGGAGCCAAAGGGCAGGGGAGAAGGGGGGGATATTTGGGGGGAGGAGGAGGAGGAGGAAAGAGAAAGCCCCACAGCAGTAAACAGACTGAGGGGGGTAATGATGGCAATCGATATCACTGCACTGAGGTTGGATGGCGATCCAGCGCATGCAGAAAGTGTGTGCAGGGAGGGCGTACCGAAGTCCTGAAGAGGTGGGTGGGCTTAGTCACAACACCATAACTGGGAATTGGAGAAACAGGATTGGCAGAGCTGGAACTAGGCATGCCGTAGAAATTGGGCAAGGTGATTGCAGGGAAGAGAAAAACAGATTAAGGAGGAAAGGGGATAATAAGGGAAATCATATGCACAATTCTCTTTTCCTTGGAGTTCTACCGCATGAATGAATGAATGAATGAATGAATGAATGAATGAATGAATGAATGATGGTTGCTTCATATCAAAGTGTGGGGGGGGGCAGGCAGGCAATTTATGTGAACACGGAGCTTTTCCCTTTATGGGGTGCAGCAGATGGTGGGAAAGGGTGTCAATATGGCTGCGGAATAACCCCAAGCCGGAGAAATGAGGAGGGAGAAGAAAAGCAAGGAAGGGGGCCATGAGATGAGATTTTATTTTATCATATTTGGTTGGAGAGGGATTTCTATAGATAAAATGGGTTGGAGGGGGGTAGCAGAACCGTTAGGTAACATAGGGAATGGAGAGCAGGCAAAATAAGATGCTTGGGGGCATCTTCTAATTCCGGTTCCCTAAAGCAATTGCAGCAAGATGCACGGGGGGGGGGGGTGAGATTTGCAAGAGGAAGTGATTTCCCCTTGGGAATGAGGGTGGCTTCTAATTCATTGCCCTGATGGAGGAGGTTTAGTGTAGTATCATTTTTGTACAGGTTATGGGATTAATATTTCAATGCAGTGGAAGATTTTTTGAGGGAGCCCCAAGGATTGGACTGAACTTTGCATTTTATTTTAATTTTTGGATGAAGTGCCACTGGAGACCTGAAGTATCTTGAGGGCAGAGTTGTTTAAACAGATCAGAAAGATGGAAGGGAGAAATACAGATTTTCTTACATGGAATTTTGAGCTGTTCTTTGCGTAAGGAGAAGCATTAAGAGAACAGACAGAGGTCCATGTTAAAGTGCAGTCCACCAGCCAGAGGAAAAACATGTGTACAGTTTGCTATCCCAGTGGCCAAGCTGTCTTCAGTCTCAGCCGAAAGGCGCGCGAGTGACCCTGTCCTTACAGTTTTCATGCAGGACAAGATAAGGAAAGTGATTGATGGCTTCCCCCGCTTCACTTCCCCTCTCACTGGGAGCCACCTGCCAGCAGGAAACCCAGCCACTGATTGCTCTCGGCATAGCTGAACAAGTGTAGGGGGGTCCTTTGAATGGTAGGTTTAGTCAGTTGCCTATATTGGGTCACAGGTAGGTGCTCTGTGCCTCTACCTGTCGGTCAGGCTATTTCTGAACCCAGATCTAGCGCTCTTTCGAAACAGCGCTAGACCTGTGTATATAAAGAGCCTGCATAAGATCTGACAAGAACCTCAGAAAGGACTGGTCAAGAATTAGGCAAGCAGATGCCTCCGCAGCAGTTACACCTCTGATATCTCCTACAGCCCAAACTGAAATGGCCATACTGGGCAGTGTTCAGTGATGGGGGTGGCAGCACTGATGCTCGCAGCAGTCTAAAGTGGCTGGGAGCTGGGCACATCCCAACTCCTGACCACACTGTCTGCTACCCTATTGATCAAATGTGCTAGATTGTGCCCATGGCAAAAATTATGTTGGGACAAGAGGGAAAATGTGATGTTGAATTTGGAATAGGTAAAGATGACTTTAAGCTGCCTTCTCTGACAAAGACAGTGCCACAAGGAAGGCTAGCAGGGGATATCTGTGGCCTGGTTAGGGGAAGTGAGGAAGAGCCCCAAGGCTCTTGAAGAGGGAAGGGTAGACTTGGGGATATTCCAGAGAATATCATTGCATTGCATTGCATTACATTTCTTCCTGCTCAGCATGATTACCCAGAAGTAAGTCCCCTTGGGTAATAAGGAAGCTTAGGACTGCAGACTCACTCAATCTTCCTTCCTTCCCTTGGATCTTACAGGGAAAAAAAAACATGATAAAAACATGAGAGGGCTTCTGGTGATGTTTCTGTCCAATCCCAATGGGTGTTTGATCAGCAAATGGTGGTCATTTATCTGGCTTTGGTGAGCTTCAGGGCAAAATATATGATTGATGAAATTTGATTCTGTCTCTGTTGGTTTTAACTCTTTCCTTTTCAATCCAATTTAATGTTTGTATATTTTATTGTGTTTTTTAGATGTTGAGCTGTCCATTTCCTCTAGAGCAGATCAAATTATAAATGCAAATCAGTCAACTTCCCAAAGGTATCAAGATTTCAGAGGCAGTCGGCTTAGACACATTAAGAGGAGATATTGTTGCTTGTGCCAGCGCTTTTGAGCATCCCTGCTCTTTCATGCCAACAAGTGAATTTATCTCGAGGCATGCTTTCTTGCAGGGGCAGGAGGGCACCGGGAAGCAGAATTAGTGCAAGCGGCTTGTGAACCAGATAAGAGGTTTTGCTGTATTGCCTGCAGGACGGTTCAGCTGTTGGATGGTGTGCGTAGGCAGTGGTGTCACATTGCCTCTGTGGGGGTATACAAGCCAGAGATGTGCGTGTCATAACAGAACAGGTCTTTCAGTTGTAGATCAGTGCAAGATGGACAAATGTGGGACAAAAAGGTTGCAGGATCATCTAGAGTTGGCGATGCATTTGTGCATGGAAACGGAGAAGTGGCTTGCGGTATAGACAGATGTGTATGAAGAAAGGATCTGTGTCACTGATGTGCTTTGGTCAGATCCTACATCTGCCTCAGAGTGCACCAGTGAATATAGACTATGGTACCAACCTGAGGCATACGTACCTGTGATAATAGAAAGATCTATTTTCAGCATGCATCATGAAACCCAAGCGTGCCACGGGGATAACGACACCCAGCGTGTTGAGTTACTGAGCTAATCTATATGAAGTAGTTTGGATTCTTGAAAATGCTACACAATATAGCAGTATAGGTGGGAGGCTTCAGCCTTCAGAAAAGTGCAGCATTTATGTGCCCAGCACATGAGAGATTTATGAGCCTTTTAAGGTGTCTGATATATTTTTCCTTTGTTGAGTTTACTACATGTACTGTAGGAACAGATGCATCCAAGAGAAAAGCCATGTTAGCTGACCGATTGTGCACAACTTTTGTCTTCTTTCTCAGACTCAGTCTCTTTTGCCTTCCAGAAGAGTGATGGAATTCTCAAACAGACTTTCCTGACCAGATGCAGCCCCAAACTTATTGGATGCTGGGAATAAGTTAGCCCTCACTTCCCTGGGAAGGTGGTTTGTGAGGAAAAAGGGCCAACATGATCCATTGCGATGTAATGTCTCCCCTGGTTTGGTATTTGGGAATTGTGACAGGCCTTCATCACTGAATGTGCTTCTTTCAGTTATCTCCACTAATGTCCTAGCAAATTTTTGAGGAATGGTTTTTCCTTCTCTTCACTGCCCCTCCTGCTGTTGCTGTATTAGTTCTCATTATGTTTTACAATTGCTTTTTTGTTTAAAACGTATTTGAGCCAACACATTTTTTAAGAGCAAAAGGGCAGCACAGAAAATTAAACAAAGATGCCATTTAACTTATCTTATGCAAATCAGGTTAAATAGGATTGGGGTAGTAAAGGTTTCCTGAGTATCGGTTACAAGGGAGGCCAGAGGAAATCCAGTTAGAACTTTCTCTCACTTGGCATCCTCTAGATGTGTTGGGACTGGAAATCTCAGAATTCCTAGGACTTCTTGGGGTGTCATCCAAACATATCCAGAAGACGTCAGGTTGGGGCAGCCTGACTTAGCTGGACATGTTCAGCTCTGTGCCACTTCCCTGTGTGATTCCAATACTATTCTGTTTTGTGGTTGTTAGAAAAAACAAAGCTGAATTAATTATCCTGAGATGTCTGGCAGAGCGCTTCCAACTACACTTTCTGTTTTTCAGCATGTCTGGTCTTGTTGAAAACATGCAGATCCAGCCCACTGGGTGGATCCCAACTGATCAGAGCAGTGGAGAGGAAAAAAACCTTAATCACTTTTCTGGGTGAGACAAATGGAGAGAGGACAAGGGTCCATGGAGCTACATGGTCATATACCCATCTTTTGTACTCATTCGGTTCCAGATTCAACCCTCAGCTTGTCCAGCTGAAAGATGTCAAAGGCCTATGACTTTGGACCAGTACAGGTTTCTGCTTAATGCAGCATCTTAGATGTATAAATTCCACAGGCTTCTAAACCAAATTTCCCTTCTGTCTTCACAGCTTGTGGCGGTTGGACAGTTCCGGGTCCTGAAGGAGCCCCTGGGTTTTGTAAAGTTGCTAGAATGGGTGAGTCTACCATACCACCACCCCTACAAGCCAAGAGGAGTCTGTCTAACTGATCATCCTGCTTAGAATTGAGACAGATGCTCCATAGGACAGTGTTTGCTTGTTCCTTCTGCCAAAGTTGCATCTATCTCTTAAAGGTGGAGAAGGTCTGCCTTCTTTGGCATCTGGCCACTTGTATTCTGCTCCTAAGCCCAGGCTGGGCTCCATCTGTGTGTGATGTGAGGACTAGGGCTGAGAGATAAGTTTCCCAGGTGCCATCCCCAGCAGGATTTTACTGTTTAATATTGGATGGTCTCAAGTGTGGAAGATGTATCTCACTCCACCCTGTGCTACCTCCAGAATTATAGGGGTTGCCAATCACCCCTGGCCTAGACCTTACAATAGTATGCTGGAGCACAGTCTGTTTCCTGAAGTATTGAAGCAGGTCAGGCAGAGTGTTCTTCCAATCATCTGGAAATTCTCCCCATCACAATCACTGTGACCATAGGAACCTAGCAGGATGGAAGGCAGGGAAACAGGGAGAAAGCGCTATCATGATAGTGCTGGGATTTACTAGTGATGGTAAACACTAGTTTACATACAGGAGAGATAGTGCAAAAGAGAGACCTCCTACCTTAGATAGAAAAGTGGCCAAGAAGGATGCTCTGCCAGGAACAGAATGGAAATCCAAGCTACATTCCACCAGAAAGGCAGAAAACACTCTTTGAGGCCCTTATCTACATCTATCTACCTATCAGTCTGATTGATATGTATTCTAACAACTAGATAATTGGGAAAGATAGTGAGATAAAATGGATGGGCCAATCCACAAGGAGAGTTTCTCACACAACACTCATGGAAAGAAATACTGTATCACACAGCAGTGGGGTACCTATTGTCTTTGAGCTCTTGCTGAATTAATTAATTAGTTTTGGTGGGTGATGATGATGATGATATTAACAATGCACCACCATTCTCAACTGTCACAGAAACTAGGGAAGATGCTTGAAACTATGACTTCTGACTAAAAGTTTGAACCTGCATCTTTCCAGTTCTGCCCACCTATCTGACCTTCGTTGCTCCCCCCTTAAAAAAAAGTTAAGCAGGATTGAAACGGGTTAATTCTTGGAAAAGAGGCCATTAAGAAATCTTTAAAAAGGCAATGCAAACCACTTCCATATTGCTGCCAAGAAAACTATACAGTGTGGACATGGCTATGTAGACATCAGGAGCTGAACACAACTTGAGGAACCCTTTCCAATTATTTCGTAGTCTTAGTCTGATATTCTATTATATCACTTTAGACCTATTACAAATCCACAATTGCCAGAATGAATGCTTATTAAGTAATAATCATAAGAGCCAGTGTTGCATAGCAGTTAAAGTGTTGGGCTGGGAGTGGAGAGACTCAGGTCTAGTCTAACTTCAGCCAAGGAACCTCATTGGCTAATGTCAGGTCCCTTTCTTTCAACCCAACCTCACGGAGTTGCTGTTGTGAGGAAAAATGGGAGAAGGTCATGTTGTGCACACCACCTTGGGGAAAACTGGATATAAATATAACAAATAAATATCAACATGGCATAAATCTGAAAGCTGGAGTTGGAAAAAGTAGTGCTAGACATTAGAAGTTAAGTGACAATTCTGGACCATAATAATTAAAACAGAATATAGAGAATAGTATCCAAACATATATATGCAAACCAATAACTACTGATTTCAAACATCTTTTTGGCCATAACAGTGGGAGTACCAATTCTTCCTTTCATACCATTCTATTGTAAGAAACAGCAAGTATTTTAGACCACACACAATGAGATCTAAAATAAAAACAGCCCTTAGAAAAATCAGGAGGATTAGAAGCGCTTTGGAGCTTAGGATGGAAAATTCAGACGCTTGTCCCTAATTAACGGAGAGCACAATCCATAGGGAATCTCCCTGTTTTATTGCAATGACGGTAGCTGTATTAGAGCACAGTAAGAACTGGGGTGCGTGCAGGAACATTGGTCGATGCCCAGAAGAGGTATATTCGGTATATCTGTCTCTGCCATTAAAACCTGGTAAGCAGGGTTGAGGCCTCATTAGTATTCAAATGAGAGATTTCGAGGGATGCCCAGGGCTGTAGGCGAGAGTGGAAAATCAAAACACTCTGTAAGCAGCAGCGATTCACTTCTGTATTGCTGCTACCAGGATGCGTCCATGAAGTCACCATGAGCCAACTTGACTTGGAGAAGATCTTATCTTTTTATTTTAAGCCGTGGTGTCATCACAGGTTATTATATCGAGATACCACTGAAAACTAACACTGAGCCAATAGGAGTTACATTTACACTGCAGCAGCAGCATGTCTACTCAGAAGTAAGTCCAATTGAAATACAGTAGAATTACAGCCCTTACCTGGAATATTAAACAATCCAGTCATTTTTTATAAAATATAGGCTAACCGTCAAGAATGTAAACACTTAAAGTTGCTCAATATTCAGTTAAATGAAGCACACAGAAAATAGAGAGCAATATCCTTTAAAAAATATCTCCATTTGGCTGATTGAAGAGAAGGGAAGGAGCAGAAGGAATGCTCCATAGATGGATAAAGGGGGAGGGATGAGTCAAAATGTGGAGCTTTAGAATCTTCCCCTCCCCCCGGCCTGTCATACATGGGCTGCAATATTTCAGATGACCATTGGATGGCAGCCAAGAGTTAAACCTCTTTGCTCTCATTGCTGCCATCTAATGATTGAGCAGATCTTTGCAGCTCAGAGGGAGGGCTACTCTTCCTCTTCCTCCCCCCAAAACCACAGTAGCTAAGCACATTAAATAGCTTTCTCCAGCCTACTGCCTTCCAAATAAATTGGACTATAGCTCCCATAGTACCTGGAAATTATGGGCATTGTGATCCAAAATAGCTGGAGAGCCCCAGGTTGGTGAAAATTGCTCTGAACAATTATTTTGGCATTAAACTTAACCTGATAATTTCAACTCCTGTATAAGCACATACCCATTCTGAACATTTTCTTTCGTATCACCAATATCCCACATGGAAAAAGGAGACTTTACAAACCAAATTTTGAACTGGGAAGCCATTGAGTGATACCTAGCCATTCCAGAACCTAAAAGCAACTGCTTTATGGTTTGAAGTTTCTCCTCCTCATGCAAATAAATTCAGAAAACCCTACAGGCACCAGCACTGTATCACTGCTGATGTCAACATTTCTGCTCACACATGTTGTTTAAAACAAGGAGAAGGAGGAGAATACTAGAGGGCAAAAGTGATTGTTGTTTGTTTAATAGAAACATAAATGAATAATAGAGGGGGACATAACCATAAATAAGGCCCTTGAGGTTGAAGCCATCCTGGATTTTGGATGCTGAAAGATATGATTCCGTATAACCTTTGCAATTTGGCATGTCTTTTCCTGAGAAATTCTGGAGGTCAAGATTTTCCCTACTGGGTAGAGCAAGGATACCAAACCTTTGGGCCAATGAGCACGTTTGGAATTTTGAGAGCCTGTTACAGGCATTCCTGGAACAATGGTTACCATGGGAGACGTGGCCAATCCCAAACACCCGTATCTACCAAAAATCAAACAAAGCTCTTGCCTGCAGCCACTCAACATTTTCTAATAATCCCCCTGGAATTGAAAATAGGGCTTATGCTTTAGTACAGGCTTTAGTCCTGATCCATCCTTGTGTCTATATCAGTGTTTCTCAACCTTAGCAACTTTAAGATGTGTGGACTTCAACTCTTTGCTCTGCAGCATGCCGGCTTCCTATTTGGAAAAAAAACCCTTAATGTTGTTTTTTTTAAAAATAAAAATAAGGTTAGGTGTGATAGTCAGCTTGTTGGCCTCAAAGAAATATGCTGTGCAGATTGTTGCTTCCTGGATGTCTTACTGAGGGACATGTAGTATCTATATCAGTGTTTCTCAGCCTTAGCAACTTTAAGGTGTGTGGACTTGTTTTTTTTCCAAATAGGAAGCCGGCATGCTGCAGAGCAAAGAGTTGAAGTCCACACGTTTTTTTTCCAAATAGGAAGCCGGCATGCTGCAGAGCAAAGAGTTGAAGTCCACACGTTTTTTTTCCAAATAGGAAGCCGGCATGCTGCAGAGCAAAGAGTTGAAGTCCACACATCTTAAAGTTGCTAAGGTTGAGAAACACTGATATAGACACAAGGATGGATCAGGACTAAACCCTTCTTCCAGCATAGCCTGGAGCATATCAAGACCTCAAAGCCGGTTTCCCCTGGTTGTGCTTTCTTAAATCTATATCCTGGCCCCAGAGGCTTTAAATAAATCCTAAATCCCTTTATCTGTCAGCTTCACCAGCACTTCTTAATCCACTTTTTATTATGTAGTTTGCAAAGACTAGTCTGGAAGTACATTTGCACTGAGATTTGGGAAGTGCTCAGAAGTGCCTGCCTTCGGAGACTCCAGCAGCTTCCTTCTCTATCTGCCCAGAACTTTCCACAGAGAAGGGGTTCGGCCCTTGGCGCAGATTTCTTCTCGGACCAGAAGGGCTCTATTCTGATTCCTTAAAGGCACATTATTTCACTATTTTGCGGGGGGGGTGCCCTACATTTTTCTAGGCAAAGCCTTCCATTGTACTTACAAACTCCAGAGTTGTGGGTCTTGACTGTCACTACCAAGCTATTTTTCCTAGCCAACCTCACAGTTGTCTGCAGTGGGGTAAGTCGGAGGAAAAGGTCGGCGTACTACTTTCCAATTGCGCAGTCTTCCACTTGCATCCCAAGCTTGAGTTGCAGTTCAGTTGAACCCATCCCTGAGCAAGTGAACCTGAACTAGCTTGATACAGTAGCTTCATGCCAAGCCGTGCGAATAGCTTAGAAACTCTGGGTGTGCACATGTGGACAAAAAAAGGTGAGCCTCTGCTTTATCTTGGAACCAGTTTCTCCCCACTTTTATTTATTTGTCTTGGGGGCCTGTAGGAAGCTCCTTCTCTTGCATGAACCCTTCTGACCCTATCAGCATTCCAAGGGAGAATATTATCCCCTGATATAAAACCATCTGGGGGAAGGGACTTCAGATTAATGAGGATTGCGCACATTCAGCAGACACAGAACGCTGTGCAATGGGATGGAGAATCCAGGGAGAAACGTAGCCAGCTGGCTGGAACCCTGAATACCACGCTGTTCCTTTTTATTGAGGTTCCCACTTGCCTTCTGCCTTTGGAAACCATTTCATTAAAGGGATTTAAGCGCCTCACAATCTAATTCATGGTGGCACACTTGAAAAGCCGTCCAGCAGCAATCACGGTACAGCCGGTCTTCAAACCACGGATCTCTCCTGGCTCGGTGGGCTGAGCCCAGGCGTGGAGTGGTGGCTGATGCAGAGGTGGAAGACAGCAAAGTGGGTCAGGGCTGGGTTAATATCTGGTCCCTCCCCGATCAGACTCTGGGAGGAGGAGGAGATTAAAAGGAGAGGGATAAGGCTCGCTCTCTCCCACCCTCGTTCTGTGGCAAATTTTGCTCTAAAAATATCTGTGATCGCACAGTGATTTCTCAGCTGACCCATGATGACTGTAAACCAGATGCCTCCTGCCGCCCCCCATCCTGGGCAAGGCCGAAATGATCCCTTCCAGCGCCAAGGGTTACAGCAGCCCGTGCTGGAAGACAGCCGCCTGCCCGTTTTCTTCCTAGAGCGCCCCCTGCTGGCCCAAGGGAAGCCAGCGGCACTTGCCTTCCCCCAGCCCTATTGCTGAGGCAGACAGAAATAGCCCTGTGACTCATATGGGTGCAGGCATTGCTCACTAGCGAGAGGCTGGCTTGCTAGAAATGGAGGTGCGTTGGTATCAACTGAGAGAAAGGGCCATGTATGAGAAAAGACGTGTTTTGTGGAGAGGGAGAGCCCTCTGAAGCCACGCTGGGCTTATAACGTGTTTCAAAAATATATTTCCACGCAAAGTGGCACAAGGTTCAACAGCGTACTGTATCATATGCCTCAGCTGGAGCGTACTTCAGATCGGCTTGGAGAAACGATGGATGCTAAAGGTCTACTAACTTTCTTTTCAAGTCCCTAGTTCTCACTGAGGTAGTAAATCTGCAGCTGGGTTGTACCTTTCACAACTGGGCGGTGCCACATTAGGCGATTTCTGTACACCAAAAATCCTCATATGCATAGCAGCAGAAGCCGTATAACACAGGAGGGAAAAAAATTGGGAGGAGATTAGACTCTTCTGAATTCTAGAAACTCCACCCACAGCTTGTAATTCATTTCTAATCATGTAAAAATGTGTATTAGCATAACATGTATTCCTTCTCTCTGTGAAACTGGGAAACCACATTTTTGGGATGGAGGTAGTGAGCTAGGAGATCTCTAGCATAAATTACAAGAGCCTTTAACATTTTTTCATGATATTTGCATTATAGTCCATATAACATTTAACAGACAAAAATAAAACGGTAGTATTCAATAAAACATATGATTAAAATTATCTAAAATTCTTAAACAAAAGATATATATTGTATTAGGATGAATCTACAACTACTGCAGTCCTTTCATATATTATTAAAGCTAGAGCATATAGCCTTCACCAAATTAAAACTCCCAGACTCCTTCAAGGGAAGCTGTGGGCTTTTTAATTGTATAAATTTGATGCATGTTTGTGATATAGCAAAACAACTGCCTGCAGCTTTTCAAGGTTTTGTTGTTTTTTAACTGAACAGCTATAGTTGTCAAAATGTGGTTCTTTTCAAATGAAAATTCAAATTAGATGCTAATCCTTGGTAAGGAGATAAAATAGTTTGAGGGGATACTGAATGTGGAAAAGAGAGTGACAGAAGACAAGACTAAGCGCCCTCCACTCTTCTTTGGAGCCTGCCAAATCTGGTTTTGTTTTTGTTTTTTAAAAAGCTTGTTTGGAAACAGCATTACATGCACCTTTATTATGTTTAGTTTGGCCTTCAGATACCTGAGTTAATCAACCCAACTGGTTGGATTTTTTAAAAACCTAACACGGATTTTAAAGAACAAAAATATTTAAAGATGCAATAGTACAGCAATGATTATATCTAAGAGCAGTTTCACCATTTTCACCACCCGAACCCTTGCAAGCAAAAATCTCAGGACACCATTGTGCTCCTCCCTGGTGCCTTTCTCACCATGAGCTGTTCATGTGCTGGCCAATTGACCAGTCATGGAGGGCAAACACCAGCAGCCAATCCCTGGCCCTTTATTTATTTATTTATCATATGTATATGGCCGCCCATCTCAAAAAATGTGACTCATTCTAACCTATCAGTCCAAGGAGCCAGGATAAGGCACCAGTGAGAAATCGTTCACCTCCAGGCTCTAGCATTTTAACTGCAAGACTGGGAAACGCTTCTTCTACACTGTTGGGCCAGACGTTAATTGGCACACTGGAGGAGTTTGGGGGAAAAGTCTTTAAAATATTTGCTGGGGGGGAACTGGCAGTATAAATGTTTAAACTCACAGGTATAATCAGCATTACAGTATGACATCTTATAACATTAACAACTTATTTGATGTAGAAGGGGGGGAAAAATCCAGATTCAATATTTCAAAGAGGATGGTGCGCATTTCACAAAAAGTCAACACTTAATGCAAAACTAACCATCCATTGTGATATTTGCAGGAAACTTAGTTCAGTTCTCTAATGTAACAAATGGCTTCCACTGCAGTTTTTTTTCCAGGAATGTACAATATTTACACATGACCACTAAATATCTTTGAAATCTGTACCATTTCTTAATATGTCTCCAGCCTTTTTGCTTGTCCGGTGCCACACTTTCTGACAGGTAGCACGATAAATGGGATTGTTGCTGAGTAGATTTTAGAATTTCCTGTGAAGTTTGGAAACTGCATTTCACTCACATTCACTCCCCCTTTCTCTGTCTCATTCTCTTTTTCCCCAGTTCTTTTCCATTTTTGCATTTGCGACGTGTGGCAGCTACTCTGGACAATTCCGTCTCAGCGTCAACTGTCCCAACAAGAATGAGAGCAAACTCAATATAGAAGTGGAGTTTTCCTACCCCTTCCGGTGAGTTAAGACTTAGTTGGGGCCATTCAGGGAAACTGCAAGGAAACCACTGGTGGGCCAAGGTTCACACCAAAGATGCAGTTTATGGACAAGGACGCAGCTCTGGTCATTCCAGAAATAAGCAGCCAGCCAACCAGTGATCTGCACTCCTTGTTTTTGACAGTCTGTCCAACGCCTGGTAGAATTTCAGGAGTCTCAAAAGGCTAAGCAGGGTGAAACTAGGTTAATACTTGGATGGAAGCCCATCAAGAGATGCTAACATTGTAGGCTAGACTAGAAAGCCAACAAATATCCAGGAGGAAAGGAATGGCAAACCACTTCATACTGATACCAAGAAAACAATTGGACACTAGAAGGAGGGGGCAACACAAAGGGAACTTTATCTTTTCTGGATAAACAGCAGAAGACAAGTTTGGGCTCCTGATATATATGTCGGTGGGTGGGTGCGTGGAGGCACGCGCCTATGCATGTCTACATGTGTGTGCGTTTCCAGCAGTCATCCAGAGAAGTCCAAGGAGCCCATTAGCAGAGCATATTAATTATTAATCCTCAACATGTTGCGCTGAGGGATATACTTCCTCTGAACCTTGAGGATCTATCCACTGGTCATGGCTAATAGCTATTACTGCTATGAATTAGACTTCTTCGTGAATTTGGCTAATCACTTTTTCATAATCAATGACTCATCATGTGGCAGTAATCTGCATTAATAAATTATGACCTTACACGGGAAAAATGTTGCTTTTGTCTCTCCAGTTCTTGAGAAGAATGTGATCCTGGTTTCACATGTACTGAGAAAGGGTGAAATGTTTCTCTCTCTCTCTGAAACTCTGTGTGGTCCTCCTGTAGTACTAGGCAGCTTTTCTTGGAGTAACAACCTTCCAAACGGGATGCTGGGAACTGTAATCCCACCCAACAACAAACACCTAGTCCAGTGTAATCAAAGTTCACCCATACTGGCTGCCTTTCTTCTGTGAATTCCTGTTACAGATTCTTTTCTCTCTTCTCCAGGCTCCATCAGGTGTATTTTGATGCTCCCACCTGTAAAGGAAGTGAACAAGACAAGATTTTCTTGGTTGGAGACTACTCTTCCTCTGCTGAATTCTTTGTCACCATTGCAGTCTTCGCCTTCCTTTATTCTCTAGCTGCGACTGTTGTCTACATCTTCATGCAGGATAAATACAGGGAGAACAACAAGGGGCCCATGGTTGTGAGTACAGCCATAGGATGGTGGGATTGCCACGAGCCATTAAGGCACATGTGTCAGACCGGATACAAGCTCCCTTTTCTATTTGATTGAATTAACTTCAGCAGGAGTACTGGGCTCTGAAGAGTACATCTAGAAGGGCAAAGAAGCATTTGGAAAACCTGCTACTAGGGTTGACCCTTCCATTGGGAGGGGTCAAACTTCAGCCACCATTAAATAATAACTACACATTCAGGTTGTTCATGCCCCACCTGCTTGAATAAAGAGTGCCTTTTGAATATTCTGTTTTGTGCATCAAAATATTAGATGTTAACTTGGAACAGGAAGTTAAATTGATGACAGCACAAGGCAGAGTGTCTAGAGTATGTTGAACTAAAGATGAATTAAATGAAGGGTTCTTTATTTATTTTGAATATTGCCGTAGTGCTATAGTTTAGCACACTATGATTTTATCCCAGTGGTGACCCACCAAGTGTATTGCAATCATTAGTGCCAGGTGGGGGCTCCTCCACAGTTTGAGAAACCAATTTTTATTTACCGCCAGGGCCTATTGTTCCAAAATAGTGGCTTACCTGAGGCCACCGAATTATCTTCTAGCTGAGGTGAGATTTAAATAATCAGTTAGCCAATTTAAGATCTTGGGCTTGGGTGACAGACCTAACTCTGGCATTAGGCTGCTTGTTGTTTCAGCCTTCCTTTCTTCTACCTGTGCTGTGTTAGGGTGGGGTGTGCTGGGAGGACATGGCAGAATCTTACTAATGCATTTCAGGGGAGGCTTCTAATATCCACTGACCAGATCTCCAGAGGTTTACTTCATGCTTTGGATAATCTTAACTGTAACTTTGTCGTTATTTCTTTCTTCTTCTTGCTGCAGGATTTCATTGTCACAGCTGTTTTTGTGTTCATGTGGTTGGTGAGCTCTTGTGCTTGGGCCAAGGGGCTTTCAGATGTCAAGGAGGCCACCGACCCTGATAATGTGATAGAAGGCATGTCCATGTGCAAGGAAGCAGGGGTCAAATGCAAGGAGGAGCATGAGCCCGTCACTTCTGGCCTCAACACCTCTGTGGTTAGTCCTCCAGGCTGCTGTCATAGGAATATGATCAAAGCCTAGATAGGGTTATTTGTATAGGGTCTATTCCTGGAAGGCTGAGCATGCATTTTGTAGTTTGTGTTCCTCAGCTTTGTTTGACTATAGCTTTATAATATCTGGTTTTTGTGCATGTCTGTTTCCAAATGGGTCTGTTCTCTATATTTTTGAAGAGTATTTGTACTTCTGGTTTTTAATTAATGAACTATGTACCAGGATGTGTTGGCTTTTTGTGCATCTGTATCTGTTGTTTTGTTAAGGATACCTGTGTCTCAACTTGGGGACATGCCTGCAGCAAGTCATAGATATGGGTATCTACTGGTAGGTGTCTTACAATGAGGCATTTTCAAGGAAGCAACCTTAACTATTGTGTTACACGAGTGTAGTATTACTGTTTGCAGGTCCAAATCAGGTCTACATGCTCTCAAATAAATCCCACAATCTTGTTTTCTGGTCTGACTCATAGCCAGGCATAATCCTTTGGTCTCAGAATGCTAGTGAATACATTTATTGTGCAATCATCCTGCCTCTTTCACTGAATTTTGTGAGACGGCCCAGGTGAGGTTCTCTCCTGTTCACAGTCCTCTCATATTTTCCCATCACTTCTCCCATCCTTCTTCTTCCCATGCACACATGTACACTGCCCTTAAGAAGAAAACACTCATTCCACACAACAGAATAGCTGCTCCTGAAGCTGACTTTTAAAATTCCAGTTTGCTTTTGCACACACAGCTGCCCTATCAGGAGAGTAAAACTGCTGCATTCCGTTTGCTTATCTATTCATGACTAAGCACTAATGACTAAGCAGAACTGCATTGCTCAAACAAGTGGGCTTTTTTCAATTGCTGTTGCAACCAGAGAACCTTTGAGGTCCTTGGGAGCTTCTCAGTGGTTTTTCCAGTGAGGTGGTTATTAATGGAGATCATTTTAAAAAATAATTTTATAAAACTTTAAAAACATTACAATTGACATTTTTACAAAAAGTGATAATTGGTATGTAATATTGTATATAAACTAAATAGGCACATAGCCATTATATAAAAGACTATAAACTTTTAAAAAGAAGCCTATATAGTCAGGAAAAAAATGAAAAACACCTAATTCTAATCTACTGGGGCGGGGGGGGGGGGGGGGGGGGGGGGGGGGGGGGGGGGGGGGGGGGGGGGGGGGGGGGGGGGGGGGGGGGGGGGGGGGGGGGGGGGGGGGGGGGGGGGGGGGGGGGGGGGGGGGGGGGGGGGGGGGGGGGGGGGGGGGGGGGGGGGGGGGGGGAAAAAGAAAAGACAAAGGAGAAAAGAACAGACAAAACAAACACAAAAACACAACTAAACAACTAAACAAAACTAAAAGCTCCACCCCCTACAAACCTAAATGCAATCTAATTCTAAATATATAGAGAAAATACTATTTAAAGAAGAAGAAAAAACAAAACATATCAGGCTATTCAAATAATATAACTTCAATTTCATCATGATGGTTCAGTCTTTGAACAATGAATTAAACCTAGGCCATTCAGAATCATATTGTCCAGTTTAGCATCTCCTTTAATACAAAGCTAACCTGAAGACTGAGAATTGACAAATGTCATTAAAGCAGCCTTTAGAGTCTGAGACACAAGCATTCTTCTATGAGTGCATAATTCCCTTTGTTGTAGCAGTGCAAACTTAATACATTTAACCTCGTTAATCAGTTATGTTTTTGGTACAAAATTTTATTTAGATAGGCCGTTTAACTGGAGAAAATGGGAAGGCATACACAAATTCAACTATATTTATCTTATTCCGGTGGTTCTTAAACTGGGAATAATTATCCCCAAGCGGTAATTTGGGCATACCCTGGAAGTAATGAAACAATTTGTTTTTGTTTTGTTTCTCAAATAACTTTATTAAGAATTACAAATAAAAGGAATAAAAACTAATACAAAATATAAAAAATATAGAAATACAAAAAGAAAAAGTGCAGAAAAGAAAAAAAGAAGTAACCTCCCCCTTCATCCCAGCAAGTAAAAACTATTTTAATAACTTATCTTTTAATACAACATATACTCTTTTCACCCCATAACTCATCTCTTAATTAAAAAACAAAATCCAAAAGCCTCATTATTCATTCTTGATCAGAAAAAATCCAGTAAGGGAAACAAGATATAACTAATTTTCTATTTTAACCTTGATCAAATAAGCCAACCCTGTATCCCTTCCCTGAATTTATAATGATTTTAATTTTTAACCCTTTCAATATAGTCCTGAGCTTGTTTTCTGTTCATCTTTTTTTTGACCCAAGAATCTTTCAAAACTTTAACAGACCTCTTTTGTACACCCAGTAAGTAAAGTTTGTCCTTTTTTTTAATCAGTTCTCATAAAGTCTTTCAGGGTTTTAACAGACCTCTTTTGTAGATCCAGTAAAAAAAAAGTTATCCAAATCACTTTTCTGGTTTAATAATTGTACATGTCTTTTAGGCAGTGAAACATCCATCGGTTTTATTTGTATATGCAATATATCTTTCTCCATATCTTTCTCATTACTTGACACATTTAAATCCACATACAAATTAATTTAAAACTTATTCATTGTAGCTTGTTCTTCTTCTGTAGCTTCATTAACACACAATCTGTCTATCATAGCAAGTAATTTTGAAAACCAGTATTCAAAAACATCCATTAAGGTTTTTTGCTCCATTCTTTATTTTTTTGTTAACAAAACAAATTTATTACCCTCTAGCTCCCCCTAGTGTCAAACTGTCAAGATCCTATTATCATGTTTCTTAAAAGAACCCAAGCAATTGCTATTTCCCACAAGAAGAATTCTTCTAATTAATTCAAACTTATAATTCCAAGTCCATCTGGACCCTAATCCATTGTTAACTTTCTAAAATCTGTATTCTACTCACCCTTTTGCTGTTTAAACCAAAAAAATAATTTTTTTCCACAGCTTTTAAAGTCATATTTAAAACATCTTTCTCCAAGGAAAAGGCAACTCATCCAATGAATACAGTAAAACCTTGTTGATCCGAAGGGTCTTAATATTTCCAGTACAATACAAAAATAATCCAAAAGTGATTAAAAAATAAGGCTCAGTCGAGCTTTATGTCCTTAAAAGGCTGCGTTACAGGTATGATCTTGACGGTATCCCTCCGCTCCCAGCCACTCATAAGCTGACTGCTAAACAGCAATCCCTGTGGTCTACTCATGAGGAGCAGCTGTGGGTTATCTCAACAATCTCTCCTTCCTCCGGAGAGATTTTGCCGGTCTGAATCCTGCATCCAGCCGCGATTTATCCTTGTAAACACAGTCCCGCTACCAGCAGGACATCAGCTCACCATGATGCTCGCCGAAAGCTTAGTAATGGAACAGTCTGTAATTTCTTGTTTGTGAGTCAAGAATCCAGTTTGGAACTGCCCCTGCCCAGACACTTGTGTTAAACAATACAGTCTGTTTTGTTTTGTTTTTAAATGGGGGAAATGATATGATTTAAGATCGGAAAAAGGGTAATTGGGCCAAACGATTTAAGAACCATTGTCCTATTCACTAAAAATCATGACCCTCCCCTGCACTTAAAGATGAGAAGGGGGGTGATATTTGGTTAATTGGGTGGTCCCAGCACTTTTCAATTTTTTTTTTAATGTTCCTTGATTGCATAAAATTTGAGAAAGACCTAGACATAAGCTAACTCAGAATGAGGACTTTCCTTTGCATTTCTTCAGTCTTGTGCCTTTCCACAAAATACTCTAAGGAGAAAAAATGGGCTAGTTGTACAATCCCTGTATAGTGCTTTGAGCTTCTTTCTGGAAACACCTCTGTGTGGATAGGGTTATTATTTGGCCTCTGTCTACTCTCAGTGTGCAAGGGGACACAAGAGCTGCACAGAATCAGAGAGTTGGATGGAGCTGTTAGGCCATTAAGGTTTTTTTCACTGCTTAAATTGAAATTAAAACCAATTGAGCCTTGGCTCTAATGTGGTGTTTCTCAAACTCAGCAACTTTAAGATGTGTGGACTTCAACTCCCAGGATTTCCTAGCCAGCATTTCTGGGCATTGAAGTCCACACTTCTTAAAGTTGCTGAGATTGAGAAACACTGCTCCATGGCATTCAGTTAAGTAATTAGTTCTTCTGTTAAACAGCTGCTGTCTTTGGGAAATATTTCTAAATATTCAACCAAAATCTGCCTTCCTATAACTGAAAGACATTATTTTGTATCTCCGGGATAATAAAGGACAAGCCATGACATTTTTCAATACGATGCATGGCTCCCCACAGTTATTTTTTCTCAAGGCAAAACATACAGTACCCACTTCCTTCCATCTGCCCTAGTACAGGTTTCAATTCCCTGGATAGTCCACCCTGCTCATCTTGGTACCCATCCTAGTTTGTGGGAATCTTTCTTAAAATGTAGGATCCAAAACTGGACATAGCACTTGAGGTAGGCCTGACCAATGAAAAATGGAACTGTTACTCCTCAGTGGCATTATATAATTGCTAGATTCATCTGATTGCTCAGCTGTTTTCCTTGAATGCTCTGTGCAGCGTCTTAACAGGCAGGGCTGTATATCCCCAATTCTTTCATCGACTTGCCTTCATGTTGTCCGTAGGTTTTTGGCTTCCTGAACTTGGTGCTTTGGCTTGGAAACCTATGGTTCGTATTTAAAGAGACTGGATGGAGTGCCCCCTTCATGAAGTACCCACCAGCCCAGGAGAAGCAGCCAGCACCTGATACTTATGGTGATAGCTACAACCAAGCTCCAGGATATGGACAGCAGGACACATATGGGCAGCCGGGTGGCTACCAGCCTGATTACAGCCAGCAAGGCTATGGTCAACAGGGAGACTACGGCCAGCAAGGTGGCTATGTCCAAGGCGGGCCCACTTCCTTTGCAAACCAGATGTAGGCGGGTGAGTCATGAAAACATATTATGCATGGGGAAATGGAATCCTGTAGTCCATGCATATATTGTGCAGATCAATCCCATTTTATACATGGTAAGATTTTGCATGATTGATTATGGTTCTACTGTAGATGATGGGCTACTGTAGAGAGGCAAGGACTGATCTAGGGCTCTGAAGTCTGACCCCTTTGATCACAGGAAATCTTATTTAGCTTTCTTCCCCCATGTTTGAATTTATGAGAATTCCACAGATACGGACAAAGCCTGAGGGCAGGCTTTTATCCAAGGTCCTCAGAAAGTTGAATTCTACATATGATGCCACCATACTCTGTACATTTGTTGTCCTCTGGCAGAATCATGACATACATATAGCCTTGCAAATACGTGAGCATTTAAAAAAAAATTAGCATTGTCAGAATTATACTGTCAGGTAAATTCTTTCATAGTTGATTCTGCCCATAAAAGTTCTAGTTCAGTAAATATAAGAATAGCTAGTAGTTGAGTCCCAGTTACCATAACTAATTAGAATATATGGTGTCTTCATCCTAGACTTGTTTCAGCCCCAGTCACCCCTGGTTTTGTTATATGCCCACCAAACAGGGTCAAGTCCTCACAAATGATGAGTGAGACTTTACTCATGGGCCTCATCAATGCCTGAGGGATGTGGCATATGGGTAGACCTAGAGGAGAAACATAGACATGCTAAACCTTATTTTGATTTACAGGTAAATGCTGAGTTTTATGTGTTGTTTTACTTACATTACAAGCTGCCTGAAGAGCCATTTTCTTTCCACCAGAGAGTTCAATGAGACCGTCCAGTGCCCTCACAGGGGGACTATCAAAAGAAAATTCCCAGAACCTTCCTGAGCTCAAGCAATTCTCAGGGGAAATGCATGAAAAACTGGTTTAAAACCAGTTACATTTGAAGTGTAAATAGAGTCTACTTATATGTGGTATTATCTGATACAGTTTTGTTCTAGGGATGTTATAAGTTCTTTATGTACTCTGTAGCAGCAAAGAACATCCACTGTTTATCTGAGTTAGTCTGCATTCCATGTATCCTACAAATATTTAAGTTCTGTAGAAATGTGTATCTGCTAAGTGGAAATAGTGGCTTGCATAGTGATATCTATAGCCTCAATTGATGTGAAGCAAGTAGTAACATCTGCACAGGTGTGTGAACAACTGGAAAATCTCTTTTTTACTCATTGCGGTGTGTTATTCGCCATAACAGCCTTAGAATTAGTATTTGAGCACTCCCAAATGAAGGTATACAGCCCAATGGGGAGGGTCAAGGTGTCTTATACTCTGTAAGCCTCATGCAAATGGGAGTCCAGCATCAGGTGACCCAGGTGGAGGAGGCCCAATCCCAATCAAATGCCACAGGGAACATGTGTGTGGAATCATCTACTGGTTGGGATTTTTACTTAAGTATTTGCATACAAGCAGATTAAAAAAAAATAAAAATAAAGGAAAGCAGGGGATTTTCTGGGGAGAAAAGAGCCAGTGATTGAGATGTGAGATGATCCTAGATATTGATTCTGAAAGAACAAGGGATATGTTAACAAGATGCATATCTCTTCGGTGAAGTACAAAAGGCAGATCTGTTGAGAGATGGGAAAACAGGCCTTGGACCCCTCCTAAGATTCAATATTATATGGTATGGTTCCGCATAGTGGTCAGTGGTGTCCATGGGAGGGGTCAAAATCTGCAAAATGATGGGCATGGCATTGTGATCAAAACTCTGCCCCTTGTACTTGTGTTAATATAGCACCTCCCTACAAAAGGGGCAGGGTTTCAGTCATAACACCCCACCTGCCATCTTGTAGATTTTGATACACATATATACCCACACAGACACCCATGCGTGCTCATGAAAGCGTGAGGGCTATAGACTGCTCTTCAGCATGCTAATGTCTGTGTGTACAAAGAAATTTTGATATAGGAGATTTAGATATGCGTGACCATCTGTATTTGTGATTTTTATAACCTCAGGAGAGCCATGTGTATGCAGAACAGCTTTAACTTTCTCATGATTAACAGTTCATACAGTATGTTCAGCTACATTGTCATGGATGGAGACTTATCCTCTAAATCTTGCGTGACCTCCTTTCTTTGTCGCATTTCACCTTTGCATCCCCCTGCATTTAGAGCTTGGGCTTGTTACCGTGCAGTAGAGATGATCCGTACCCTGAGACCAAGTAATGTAACAACTCAGTCCATGACAGTGTCTCGCCACAGCTGCCCTTGGGTTGGATCTTACACTAACTTGGAAACTAGTGTGGCTGTGTTCCCACAATACACTAAACCATAAACCATGGTTTATAAGCTGCAGTAGCTAAACTGAGATTAAACAAATTGTTTAATTGTTGCAAGGTGTTGTATGAACCAGATCGGCCGTTAAGCTGTGATAGCAGTTGTTTATTTGGTTTAGCATGTTATATGAACACAGCCTTTGTAATATGTTAATTATGGCTTATTGCTTAGCGGTCACAGTCCAACTGGTAAATAGTTTTCAGCAGCGGTCCTGTCCCATTACACACCTAACAGTAGCAAGGGATAACCCAAAAGGTGTTAGCTAACCAAGTAACTAACCCAAGGGTGGTTAGCTTTAGCCTTAAACAAACTCACTCTTACAAGGGTTAAACTACCCCCACTCCATAGCTGGCCATGGGCAGATTCAATTTTCAGTCTCCCCATGGCCACACCAGGAGTGAAAAATGAAGGGAAAAGGTGGGAAATCAGTCAAAAAAGCAAAAAAAATCTTCAATTATTCTACCATTCTTTATTTTTTTTTTCTTCCTCTCTGTTATGTGGAGGAAGGATGGGGAATGACAGCCTCCCAGGCACAATAATGAGTCTACTGGTTGGGAGAAGGGAGATTGTGATGTCAGTGCTGTGAGGACAGCAACTGTCAATAAAATGCCATCAAAAGGTTGTGGACAAATCAATAACTGGGCTGTGAGATGTCAGTTCAGTATAGGAAATTTGCTAGTCTTCTTACAAGATACACTGACCAAAAGTTTCAAGTTCCATTTTGAACCCCAAACTTCATTTTGCAGTACCTGCTCTTACATATTGCAGATAAACTCTTTTTTCTCTCTAGGGAAAAAACATTTATGCTCTTCTCAGCTCATGGAATGAAGAAACCACTTCCTGTACCGATCTTCTGTAGCAGTGATAGGCAATCTACAGCACTCCAGATGTTACTCAGACATAACTCCCAACTCCCCTAGGAAGTACAGCCAGAGTAAGGATTCTGGGACTCGTGGTTAGGACCATGTGGATGGCAACAGATTGCCTACCCTTGATAAAGTCACATATTTTCTACAACAATAGATATAAGAATTCTGGGAGTTGAAGTCCACATGTCTCAAAGTTGCTAAGGTTGAGAAACACTACTCCATGTAATTATACAAAAATATGTCAAGATTCTGTAAAAACCTATATTTAAATTATACTGTACGTAATTCATACCATCTGAAGAGCAACAAATTAGACTAGGACCAGGATGATAAGAGTTTCCCCAACTAAAATTGCCCATCCAAGCAGTTATTGCAAAACATCTGGTCTGTTTTGCCCTGCTAGCAAGCAACAGTGCCAGAGGGCAGGAATTTAGTCAATAAAACATCTTATTTATTCCTACTGCATACCTAGCCTTGCAGGACAAACAACAGTTTATGGAAAGAGAAGAAATTATTACAACTGATAAAACTGCATGTGAGAATTAGTACGTTCCCTTTCCAATGACGTAATCCCATTTCAGAGCATTTCTTCCAGCACGGCACCTCTTCACTTTGTGTGTGTGTGTGTGTGTGTGTGTGAGTGTGTGATTAAACAGGGAAACTCTAGTCAAGGGCTTTTGGTATCATGTCTAATTTGGTGCTGAGTCAAAAGAGTAAGCCCACATAATTTACAGTAACAAAAGAAAATTGGCTGCGTATCAAGCTTCTTTAACAACAAAACCCGAATTGCATTAGGCTTCTTGCTCTCCCACAGATAATCCTGAGACTATTGGGAAGAACACCAAGTTTGTCTTCTCGGTATTCAAGCCAGAGAAAACCTGCCCTGTTGGCAGACTGAGACATCCACCTCAGGCAGCAGATTTCAGCAGTCACAAAAGGGCAGGAAATTCTACCTTTAATGCATAATTATTGTATTTTTCCTCCCAAAGATAAAAAGAGGAGGTTGCAGGAGTTTCTGCTTTGTGTGCTAAAACTAACTTGGCTAGACACCAAGTTTAGACACCTTGAAGGGTTTGGGAGCGAGGCACAGTTGGCACATTGGGTGCAAACTGCTTCTTAGGCCAGGCCTAGCTTGGACTTAAATGGAAGTCACCGGGTGAAATGTTGGTAGCTGAGTGACTGATTTGAAACAAGTTTGATACTCTTCTTTTGTAAATGATGAGAGTTTGTTTGTTGTTTTGCAAATGATTGATCTTCTTGTAGATGATAGCCTGCTAAATCTGATTTGCTCCATGGTGTGTCTTACATGATTGAACACAGAAATGAGATTTTTGGGTTAAGTGCTTGTAACTTCTCAACTAGGCTTGCCAGGCAAGTTGTCCTTTCCTGGGGCCGACAGGTCCCCTGAGTTTCAGTGTTGGTTCAGTTCACCACTGCTTGGGCTGGGCTGGTTTGTGTTGGGATGAGTCATGAAAACATGGCTGAGATAATGCCTGTGCCAGGTTGCTTGTCCAAGGACATGAGTGCTTCCTTAACCTCAGGTTCTGGAGTTGGTAATGCTGACTGAGTCACTGTAAAACCTTCTCCAAAGCATGTGGACACAGAGCCACCCCAGGACAACTTTGGGCAAAGGACAAGATGACATTTCTCTGCATCATAACAGGAATAGCCTGGATGGATGACAAGACAGGGTGCAAGTTGAGGAGAGCAGGCTAACATGGTATAGAGAGTAAGGAAGGTGGTCTTAATGGAAATATGCAGGAAGCTTTACCTAGATAAAAAGGGCTGAAGCATTTTTTAAAGTCCAGAACTGCAAGATAACATTTGGAAGTAGCTCAGTCAGATGCCTCCCTAATTCACTGAAGTATAAGAAAGAGGAAGAGGAACAGCACAATCAAACCTGCAAGATTCTGCTATCTCAATCTCAGTAAAAGTAGTTCTAATCTTCTGGTGGAGCTGATTTTCTCATCTGGTCTACTTTGTGGGGCCGATACTTAGGAAATGCAAGGCAGGCCCCATGGTGCACCAGTGCTCATGGTCTTCTTCAACCAAGACCAGAGGTGGGGATGAAGGATAATGTCTAGAGGACTGCCATTGTTGTACTAGAGAGAGGTGCCTCATTCTGCTGATTCCTGCTATGAACCTGCCCAAGATGTCTGCCTGTCCTTCTCTTCTGTATCAGCATATCCATCGATTGCAGGATGATGTCACTATTTCTGTGTTCACTGGTTCTTTTTTCTCCCTTTCTCTCCATAGGTTCCTACCCCCAAGCAGAAGGCGTTGTGAGGAGGAAGCAGCCATCCCGTCCTGGCCCCCCATGTCCCTTGTGCAGGGGAAGGGGGGGCTGGTGGGTGCTCATACTGGGAGGTGGCTGGTGGAGCCCTCCCACCCCCCCAGGATGAATGTAGATGTTTGTGCTGTTTATATATACATATATATTATATATATATGAGAAACTATAACTAGAGGTAGACCGCTCCCTCTCCCACTGCCCCAATGCCTCATGCATAAATACGCTGCCCCACATCATTGCCCTATCCGGGACAGTTTCTTGGCCTTTGGCCTCCCAGGCCCTATCTCCTGTACTCCCCAGCCAAAACGGGTTGTCAGGTCTCCTCCTTAGGTACCCGTTCTCTCGCCATTCACCTTGAACCCCATCCCACGCTTTCTGTATTGTGGAAAGCATCCCAGGAGTCTTTCTTTTCCTTGGCCCTCATCTGTGACATGTGATGCCAAGCCTTCCTCCATCTCTCCTCTGCATGCCCCTGAGGAAAGCAAGCTGGGCACGGGCGGAAGGGGACCAAGGTGGAGGGCAATTGGGTTGTTCTCTTGAGTATGCAAATGTCAGGCAGGTTTGGGGTTTAAGAGGTTTGGGGGTTCAATCCTCTAGCAGCACTTTAAAGTTTTTTAACATAAACACCCTCCATTCCTGACCCCACCCCAATGATTTATGGGGTAGGATAGAGGGCAACTATATTTGGGGGAAATTATGCCCCACTTTCCTTCCAGGTGGGTCCATGTAGGTATAATGGGCTGTGAGAATAACCTTGAAGAGCAGGAAGAGCTGCAGCCGATGCAGCAGTCAGATAAGAGAAATCTGAGTCCAAAGCAGGTATGGAATTTGAGAAAACATCTCAGATTTTACCTTCCCTAGTTCTCTTAAGGTAAAGGCACAGGGTGAGGGGAGTGAAGGCACATTCAGAGTTGCAAGATTTCTCTTCTCTGACCGTTGCCTTGGCTGCAGCTCTTCCTTCTCTTCCTTAGGAATATTCTCCTGGCCCATTACATCAGGGGAGGAGAGATGCTAAAATGGGGAAGCCTCAGAAGGATCCACAGCATTGGGGTGCTTGTTGTTGTTTTGAAGGGATGTGTATCTACCATCTCTGTAGAAACTTTTAGTCTAGTTGGGAGGGAAGAGCAAAAAGGGGGTGGGGGGACTTGTTCCTAGTGAGCTGTTATACCAGGGGCCTACAGTTGGGGGATGGGGAGATTACAGGGGAGGCTTCCACTATCCATCCATCCCCCAATTTTCATTCTTCTTTTTCTCTTGTGATCTCTCTCTCTCTCTCTGTTCTAAAATCTGTATTCCAAATATGGTAATTTAATTCATGCGGATACCTTTCACCCACCATACTCATAATCAGGGTGGTTACCCTCTGGACCTTTTCAATCAGCAGGGCTATCCCCAGTCTGGTTCACATAGACGCCTCCATATGTGATTGCTTGTGAGAGGCGTGTGGAGTTGCCCTCAGGCTTGACAAACCAGTGAGAACTGCGTGGTGGCCACCTCTGTCCTGGACATCAGCTGCCATGATCTCAGCAATCATCATGGTGGTCCAAAATTATGCAGGCCCAAGGGTGAGACAGCAGTTCATGCAATTGCTGTCTCTGAGCTCTGTGGTTTTCAGAGTACTGCCCACTTGTGGGATGTACCACTTACACAAACCGAGCTCCTGAAGACAAGTATCTCTAGATAAAATGGGGAATCTAATCAACCACAAACATGCTGTGTATGAAATCATTCTGATTAATACAGCCTTGTACAATATGATCTTGAGTGCTTGGCAGCAGGTAGTAGCCCTTAGCATAATAAATTGAAAGTTGATTCCATGTGAGCTTGTTTCGAAATAAACATGCTTTATCATTCAGATTCTTTCTCTTCTCTTCCACCTGCTCTTAAATTCTCTAATAATTCATTTTGTTTGTCTGAGCTCATTATCATTTGATTTCCCTCCTTTTCCTTATGCCTGTTACTTTTTCTCAACTTTTTCACCATGTTTACATTTATCTCCTCGCATCTCTTTTTCCTCTAGGTCACCCCGCAAATTCCTGCTCCTCTCTTCTCTGTTTAAAACCTATGGCCTCCGACTGCCCCATTTTCCATATCAGCCAAAGCTCCCCCCCTTCAGCCCACACCCCTTCATTCTCCCCCTCCCCACCCCCAGTGGCACTCTGACTATATATTACTCAGTGTCTGTGTATCTGATTGTGCCGTAATTGTGCGTTTCGGTTTGTCCGGCTCTTTGCCCCGGTCGATATTGTGTGATCTTTTCTTCCATCTTTAAACGACAAAATAAAATAAAAAAAACAACAACCAACAAGAACAGCAGCAAAACTTCAGAGAAATATGCATTATCCCCCAAAATGCCCCCTTATCCCCCCAAAATTATAGAAAAAAATGGATAAAACCAAATAAAAACAGAAAGAAAATGTATTTAAAAATAAATACTTTGAGTGTCTTTATTTGAGATCTTATCATGCTGCCGATCCACATATCTTAGCCATGTATCTTTTTACCTCTTTGTGCCCCAGAAAACTTCTCCACTCCTATGCGTGTTCCAGGTTTATACACCTGCCCAGGTAAGTCCAAGTGGTCATCAAAGGGCTTGTAACTCCCAGAATTCCCAGCCACCAAGGCTGGCTTGGTTAGAGAAAACTGCATTATTAAACTAAGAGTTAGCATTTGAAAATGAGCCCCTGTGGCTCCCTTGGCAAAGCAGGATTGTCAGGGGAAAGAAAAGAACATCACAGCACCTTGTAACTTCCTCACCTGTCTGTAGCCACAAGCTAAGAAGAATCTGATTTCTGAATTGCTCTTGAATCATTTCACCTCAAGCTAAAAACACAATCCACGAATGTAGTGTTTGCCAACCACTTCACATCAGTTCAAAAATAAAGGGGTCATCTTCCATTGTTTACAATCATAGAATTTTTCTTAGTCCCTTATAAACATGGCCCTTACTTTGCTTTGTGGTTCTTTCTGTCTTTATTTTACTTGGAAGAAGAGCTTGCTTGACACCTACAGGAGCCTTTCCTTAATCTTCCTCTTTGCACCTCAGCACTGCTTTGGTCTCTTTAACTTCTTAGCATATTAACTAATTTGGGAAGGAAGATTACTGGATGAGCAGGAACTTCTTATGGTTGCAAAGGGCCAGAGATGGGGCAACCAGCCTGACCTGCTCTTTTGCTAAGAGCAGGTTAATGTAGAAATTAGTAAAGCAAAGAAGCATAGATCTATCACATCACTGAAAAGTAAACAAGATACTATATGGAAAAAATATTCAGGTGCCATATGGCAATTTATACACCAGTTTTAAATGAACCCCTGCTTGCTGTGATACATAAAACAGCCAACTATATGCCACAGGCTGCCATTAATTAACTAATTAACTGGCTGATTACCTACTTTTAAGGAAGCAATCAAATAAGGAAAAAAACAGATATGCCCAAGGAAAGAAGGCATTTTGCATTTTCTGACCAAAGGACTTTCAAAACTTTGTAAGTCCTACACAGCACTTTTGTCAACAGCATTCAGGAGCAATACTGGAGACTGATTTAAGTACTGTATAAGGATAGATGTGTAAGGAAAAGCAGTGAGAGATCAGTAGGGCAGGCCCTATCCTGCTGATTGACAAGAGGAACATTTTTAAAGCTTTTGCATCTCACAGGCAAGATGTTAACAATTCTCTACTTTCCTAGTAAAACATCCCACAATGATGCTTCTGTGTAACACCCTTTCCTGTTCACTGCTCTGGTTCTGGGAAATCCCACCCCACCAAGATACCTTTCCTAACCAGTATGTTCATATCTTGAATAGCAGGCCCTACCTTATTGATTGACAACATCCTCAAAGCTTCCCTTGTGTCATGCAGAAAAGATGTCCAGGAAATAATTCTCAGTGTTATTGATTCCCACTCAATAAAATCTAATGTGTATTGTACACTTAGCCCTGCAGGATATTTTATTAGAAAGAAGGGAGCCTGTTATAACTGGTAAAATAGCATGCAGGAATATGTACGTTCCAGGAACATGATTCCACCTTAAATCGTTTCCTTCTTGCCAGGGTGGCTTCTCTTCACTTGTTCCTCATTCAGAGATCAGTTCCTCTGCCACATTGCTTGTTCAGGGCAAGAACTACTTCCTTAATCTCAGAGTCCATAAATTTATAACCCCTGAGTCAAGAAGATGTACAGGCAGAGCCACCCCAAGCAATTTTTGGTGAAGGGCAAGATGACATTTCTCCCCTTCTACATCATGATGGGAGTGGACTGGAGAGGTGACAAGACAGAGCACCGCTGCAAGACAGAACAGGCTCACTTGAGGAGTGCAAGACAGGCCATGTGGAATATCCCGAGCCTCACTTGCTAACCGAGAGAATTACTGGGGCAGGGCTCAGGGATAATGTCTAGGGGCCTGCCATTGCATAATATAGGAAAAAGTACCTTAATTCTGATTAATGTTAAGGCCTGCCTGGTCTATCAATCCTTGAATACATGGAATCCTGACATCTTTTGGTTTGACTCGCAAAATTGCTTCCAGGCAACCCCTGAGCTCCTTCAATGAGAAATTAAAAATGTCTAACTAACTTGCCTGAATATCAGTTTTTTCATTATTCCTGATCTCTCTGTCTAGTGAATGCTACATTGGGTGTGTTGTACGGCACATTCTGTGCTCCAGTTAAGCCCACATAAACCTAATGCACAATGTGGCAGCCTGTAGCTAAGGTAGGTTCTCAGCACTTGAGGACATATTTTTCACTATGATCATCTTGTTAGCAAAAATTGAGTGCTTCTGACTCTCCCCAATTAGGATTCAGTCCGGCAGAAGATCAGACACGAAAGTACCATCTGAGGTTTTAAAGTTTTATTGAAAGTAAGCCAATAGAGTCAGCTGGGGTCTCCCCTTAAGGCAGAGGAGTAAGTACCTCGATCACACTCGAAGATTTTATACACATTTCTTACACAGAGATACAGCAATTAACAAACTGATTGGCTACACTTGGCATAAATTTGGGATCCTCCTTATTATTGGGGGAAATGTATCTCCCTGATGACCCATTGGTTGCCAGTCAAAGTTTTGGGCACCCCCTTTGGTCTTCTGATATTTATTGTTTCCTGGAGTGTAGAGGCATCACCAGAGCAGCTAAAGGATGTTCTGAAGGCTATCTGATTGGGGTC